TGGCAGGGGCAGGAGGCCAGCACTGAGGGAGGCTGGGCCTCCTGGTTGCCCAGACATGCTGCTGATCAAGAAGCAGACGGAGGACATCAGCAGCGTCTATGAGATCCGCGAGAAGCTCGGCTCGTGAGTGTGCGTGAGTGTGAGCTGGAGTGTGGGCCAGTGGGTGTGGGTGAGATGGTGCGGGTGGCTGCACCGGGTCAGTGAGGGTGTGCAGGCATGGGGTGCGAACGTGCGGCGTGCGGCAGCAGAGGTGTGTCGGCCAGTGTGAGATACGTGTGAACAAGCCAGCGTGAGTGACTGGCGTGGGGGATGGGCGTCAGGGCCTGGGCTCCCACTTCCCCCCGGCTCGGTGCCCTGTGGCCGCTCCTCTTTGCCGCCCCTCCCTCCCGCCCGGCCTCTCTGTGCAGGGGGGCCTTCTCTGAGGTGGTGCTAGCCCAGGAGCGGGGCTCCTCACACCTCGTCGCCCTCAAGTGCATCCCCAAGAAGGCGCTCCGAGGGAAGGAGGCTCTGGTGGAGAACGAGATCGCAGTGCTCCGTAGGTGCGGAGCCAGGGCGGCCAGTGGGGTGTCGAAGGGGCGCCATCTCTCCCCTGCTTCCCTGGTGCCCCCAGGAAGGCCGGACCCGGGGCTCCAACTTGCTGGACACTGTGGGTGTGCTGGGGGGGGGGGCAGGTGGGCCGAAGAGGGCCCGAGAGTTGCCCTACCACCTCCTCCATCTCGGAGGGGTGAGGCCGGCGGGCACCCATAAAGGGCTTTTTCTTGCTGTCACAGGGTCAGTCACCCCAATATTGTGGCCCTGGAGGACGTCCACGAGAGCCCTTCTCACCTCTACCTGGCTATGGAGCTGTGAGGAGGGGGCCAGCTGGGGGCCGGGGACTGCGCAGCGAGAGGGAGCTGGGCGCCCAGCTCAGCTGAGCCCTGTCCCCCAGGGTGACTGGGGGCGAGCTGTTCGACCGCATCATGGAGCGCGGCTCCTACACGGAGAAGGACGCCAGCCACCTGGTGGGCCAGGTCCTCGGCGCGGTCTCCTACCTGCACAGCCTGGGCATCGTGCACCGTGACCTCAAGGTGCCTGCGCGCCGCCCCGCCGCCCTCCCTGGCACCCTGCCGACGGGCCCCAGCCAGGGCTGACCTGGTGTTTTCTCTGGCGCCCACCCGTGGGTCACAGCCCGAAAACCTCCTGTATGCCACGCCCTTCGAGGACTCTAAGATCATGGTCTCCGACTTTGGCCTTTCCAAAATCCAGGCTGGTAACATGCTGGGCACTGCCTGCGGGACTCCGGGCTATGTGGGTAAGTAAGGGGCGCTCTGAGACTCGCTGGGGTCACGCGGAGACGGGGGTGGCAGGCGCAGGGCAGGCCTCCGGCAGCGCTGAGGCCCGGCGTGCTCGGCGCGGCGCGTCTGTCTGTCTCTGGCCCCCAGCCCCGGAGCTACTGGAGCAGAAGCCCTACGGGAAAGCCGTGGATTTGTGGGCCCTGGGCGTCATCTCCTACATCCTGTGAGTGCCCGCTGCCAGGCGCCCCTCCCGCTGCCTGCCCCTGCTGGGTCGGGGAGGGCCGGACGGCTGAGTGCTTCATCTGTGGCGCCAGGCTGTGTGGCTACCCGCCCTTCTACGACGAGAGTGACCCTGAACTCTTCAGCCAGATCCTGAGGGCCAGCTACGAGTTTGACTCCCCCTTTTGGGATGACATCTCAGAATCAGGTGAACTGAGGCTGCCCTGGCCTGGGGAGGGCTGGCCTCAGGGAAGCAGGTCCAGGCTGGGCTGACCTGGCCTCCTTGCTCCAGCCAAAGATTTCATCCGGCACCTCCTGGAGCGAGACCCCCAGAAGAGGTTCACCTGCCAGCAGGCCTTACAGCATCTCTGGTGAGCGAGACCCATTTGCGCAGACCCAGGGATGCAGGCCATGCTCACAGGCAGCCTCCCTCGCTGAGCCCAGCCTCCTCTAGCCTCCCTCCAGCCCCCCTCACTGAGTGCAGCCTCCCCTAGGATATCTGGGGATGCGGCCTTCGACAAGGACATCTTAGGCTCTGTCAGCGAGCAGATCCAGAGGAACTTTGCTCGGACCCACTGGAAGGTGAGCGTGGAGAGCCCAAGCCCCCCAACCAGCCCCAGAACAGGGGGCTGCCAGCGGCCTGGGTGGGCCTTGAAGCACCACCACCTTCTGCCCACAGAGAGCCTTCAACGCCACCTCCTTCCTGCGCCACATCCGTAAGTTGGGGCAGGGCCCCGAGGGTGAGGAGGCCTCGCATGGAAGGATGACCAGCCACAGCCACCCAGGCTTCCCGGCCAGCCAGCCCTCCTCATGGTGACGCCAGGTGTGTGCGGTGGTTCGCATGTGTTCAGGAGCTTACAGGGTGGGGGGCGCATGGGACCCGTGCTAAGCAGGGAGGATCCCCTGGGGCCAAGGGCTGGGAGCACAGCCGGGGGACCGGGGTTTCCATGGGGGCCATGCTGAGAATCTCATCTCCAAGCTGGGGACACAGGGCAGGCGGGGGTGTTCCTGACTGCCGCTCTTTCCTGTGCTTGTCTCTTCTCCTCCACCCCAGGAAGTTGGCAAGGCCAAGTGGACTGACCCCTCACTCTCACCCCCGGACCCTTTCAGTCCCCTCCCCTCCAGCCCCCTGGGCAGCCTCTGCTGGAGAGAGAGACTGGGTGTGGCACAGGGCGCTGGCTGGGCAGGTTGCCCCACGTGCCCGTCAGGTTCAGTCCTAGCCTGGGGATGGAGGCTTCGGAGGCTCCCAACCCTGTGGCCGCCACGCCTGCCCGCTGTGCTGTGCTTCGCTGACTGCGGGTGACCGCTTTGCTGTGGCCCTCCAGCCCTCCCCACCCCAGTGTCCCCACATCAATAAAGACAGACAGAGCAAAGGCTGCCAGTGAGCGGGGGAGGGGAGGGCGCGGTGGGGAAGGAGAAGGGGGTGTCATGGAGGAGACAGGCCCACTGCCCAGGGGGCCCGCGCGCCACCCAGCCACCGCTCCCTCTGATCATGGCAGACAAGCTCCCTCTTGTCCACGAGCTTCCTGTCCCCGCCCCACAAAGTGCCAACAAGATGCAGCCCAGCGAAGCGCCTCTGCCACCCTGGAGTCGACCAGCCCTGTGGCCCTGGCGCCCAGGGAGTGAATGGAAGCAATTCAGGCCAGCAGAGGGGGTGGTGGGGCCCTTCCGGTCGCTGCCCCGGGGCGAGCGGGGCCCCAGTATTGCAGGGAGGGGACCAGAGCCCCAAGTTGTCTCCTCTGACTTTCTGCTTCCCCATTTTCCGCTTCCTGCCTGTGGCTGAAGGACCCTGGCCTTCCGCGTCAGGGAGGGCAGCCCCTGGCCAGGAGAGGGCGCTGCAGGGCCTCCCAGCCTGTGCTGATGGGGCGGCTTTGGAGCTCCTGGGCACCAGGTCCGGGGTGCTCATGCAGCCCTCTGGACTGGGTGCCCCCATTCTGGGCCACCCGGGACTCCAGAATCCTGCCCTGCTGGCTCTTTCTCCTGCGTAGGAACAGCCCTCAGGCCACCCCTCGGCCCGCCAGAGATGACTAAGCACCTCAGAGCTACGCTGGCCGCCCCTTCCGCCCTGTGCGGCTCAGCCTCCTCCGCCCTCCTCACTGCCCCCTGGCACAATTGAGAAGGTCCCTTTCGTTGGCTGCCTTTGACACTCAGAGGGAGGCAGTAGGGTCCGAGCCTCGGTGGGGCTGGCTGCCCCTGGCAGAGCAGCAAGAATGGCCCAGCCACCTCCCTCGCTGGTCCTCCCAGCTTCCTCCTCCCCTCCTCCCAGGCCCCCCCAGGCTCCCGTGACAGCCCAGCCAGCAAGCCTGCGGCCTTCCTCCCGGGGCCCTACTCCAGGCCAGGTGCTGCACCCACAGATGAAGGGCCGCCTCTGGCCCTGTCCTGGGCCGTGGGCCTTTGGTGATAAGAACAGTTCTGTGGGGGGAAGCAGTGCACTGGCTGCGCAGGGAGCCGTGAGCAGGCGGGGCCCACGGCAGCTTCCAGAAGCACTGGCGCTCCTTCCCTTCAGTGCTGCAGCCAGACGATTGCTGCAGAGCGGGGACCCAGTCCCAACGCTGGGTGCAGTTTGGCCTCCAGCCAGCAGGCGGAGCCATGGTCACATCTTTCAACTCCCATGGCCACCCTTGTCCCTTGGCGCCTGGGCAGCAACTCCAAACCACCCTCACCTCCATTGTCTCCCCAAATCCAGCCTGGCGATGTCTGCACTTGACGGGGTGGGGTGGGGTGGGGGGAGGTTAGTCCTGCCCCCCTAAGAGTGGGGAGCGGACACCCCCAGTGGCGTTCACCTCTACCCCTCAAGCCCTGCCCATGGGCGTAGTGTGGGAAGCTTGCTGGGAGGCCATGGAGTGTGCAGCCTGAGGCAGAAGGGACTGATTCAGTCAGAGGCCAGCGATGGGGGGCAGAGGTTGCTGGGAGGGGCTCAGTGAGAACATGTGGGTGAAGGCACAGTGGCTGTCAGGTGCCCCGGCTCTGTGGGAGCTGCGGCCGTCACCGGGAGAGCTGCCGTGGGTCTGGCTGAGGTGCTGAGCCTGGCTTGCCTGGCACGCTGGGACTGTGGGTCAGGCCTCAGGCCCCGGCGTCACCGGGAAGTGGTTGTCTGGCTCAGAGCTCTCAAAGCTGGTGCCTGCAGGGCTCCTGGAGCAGCAGCCTGTGTGGCCACCTGCGGG